TACAGAGGTGACATTTACACAGTGATATGCTTATTTGTTAGAAATAATTAAAAAAAAGTGCTCATTTAGCAACATTAGATTTGGTATTAGGCAACTTCATTGTGTTTTTATGCTATGGAAGCTAAACAGCCAAAAGGCAATTGAGCACAAAGCTTTAATGAATTTATTTAACAGACAATAAATAAATAAATAAGATTGAAATGAATTTGCCAAGGAGGTACAATTAATTTATTTTTGCTTCACTTCTTGCAAAACGGCATAACTGAAAAAGCTTAACTAATTTATATTTCATGCCAAATGTGTTTTTAGAGCTGCCAAATGGGTTGGATTAAATCACACTGTAACCTCAGCGGGGCAGCAACAACAGGACTTTTAGACATCCTCGCTTTGCTTCTTTCTCAAGATTCTTGACGTTTTACTTGGTTTTTACCAAACCCTGTGGACGAACAGACACAAGTAGGCTAAGATTGTGGAAAAGACCCTGATTTGTTGATAAAATGTAGATGAGAATATCAAAGCTTTCGATAGATTAGAGACAGAAGGCAATTAGAGTCGCGCAGCTTGACGCATTAACACGTTTTAGACTCAGCCAGTGTGCGGACCAAAGAATAAGAAATCTGTTGGTGTGTTTGGAACTTACTAAATTAAAAAACAAAACAGAAAGATGTACGAGTTGAAAATATGTTAACGGTTTCTTTAGGTTGTCATGTAACAACAACAAAAAACAAAACCTTTAAAAATGCATTTTGTTCTGACATATTGGAGTTGTATGAAGAAAATACTTGAATTGATCAATCTTAAAACAGTACATTTGTTCTGTTTTCTGCATGTCAATGTGTCAGATCTACAAGCATGGAAATGAACACTCCATGATGACGATGAGACAAGCACATGATTGTACTCAGCACTGCGAGCTGTGGACATGATATTTATGCCATGACAGAAAATGTGATGAGCTATCAGTCTCCCATGCATGCACACATTCACATGCCAGAAACAAATGTAATGAACTCAGATATCAGCCATGTTTGACACAAGCTGCACATTAGCGTGCATCTGAGGAATGCTCCATCAGTTTGGGTAAATATTATTTGAATATTTCTAATACCATCCCCACTGTTTCTGGGAATGCTGGCCAGAACTCCTCCCAGGGCGATGGTCACTCCTCCCAACAGCCTGCAGAGCTCCTCATCGCTGCAGACAGCCGGCTGCAGGTGCTGGGGGACGATCCTGTCCTCCTGCTGTCACAAGCCATGTTTCCTTTCAGGATCTCAGTGGTCAGGCACTCGAGCACAGCTGGCAAGGAGACGGGAATGCTTCTACGGCACATCCTTGTCAACTCATTTGAGATTTGGGGCTGTAGCTGAGATATTATATGAGCTTCTGAGGTGTTAATCAGCTGCTCCTGGTTATAATAACCACCTTATTGTTATGGTTATGCCTCATAACACATGTCCAATACTAAAAAAGTTTCAGTAAAAATCCTTCCAGCTGCACAGCATCCGATACCAGAGGAAACAAGCATCCAAAAAATGTGATTTACATCCAGCAAAAGAGGAATTAAAGTTTCCAAAAACTAAATCTCAGAATGAATGTAACAGAGCTGCTCCAATATGCAGCCACCCGAGCGGCACAATCAGTGCCACCCAACATCGGTGTTGTTTTGGAGGTTTCTATGTTCTGGTGCATATGATAACTTAAATGACAGATTAGCCATTTAATAACTGATCAGTGACTAATGTTGTTTTTTTCATTTCAGGATTCATTATCTGACTTTTAAAAAGGCAAACTGTCTGGAAGTGTGCAGTATGAGGATGACACAGCAAGTGCCATGATAGTCAATATGACTAAATATTCCCTGCCATGAAACTCCTCAGGCAAGCCAAGTGTGTGATAAAACAAAGGAACAACATAAGGATGAATCCATTACCCTTTGAAACCACACACAACTGTCAGTGTAACACAGAGAAGCGTGATTGTCAAGCATCCATACTCACACTCCCTCTCAGCTTCCAGTACGAATAGATAAAAACACTGGGTCATTCGTCTTTTGCAAGTTTGTGGAACATTTCAATTCATTCCACGTTTCCAACAGCATGTGAGCCAATCTGGTCCAACACGGTTATACAGAGCCAGTTCTCCGGCTTTTCTTCTCTGCTGTTGAATCTTAAACATTTACCATCACGAACACAAAAGACACTGAATAATCTATTTGTCACGTCCCTCGGAGTACAATTTATTATGGGCTGTGCACTGAACCACTACAGAAATAAAACAATTGCTATGAATGGGCCATTTTCAAAGTGCTTTCTGAGAAACCAGTTTCTGGAAATAATTAATCCAAAGGGAGAGATGTTTTGTGTTGTTTGACAAGAGAGGAACACATTCTCCATTGTTGTGTGTAAAGTATTACAGAACGGATTGCAGGGGCATGAAACCCTCGTCTCTTCAGATGTAAACAATAAAGGAGATGGAATGAACAAAATTAAGTAGGAAGTTTCTGGATTTTCTTTTTTTAATAAAAACACATAGAACTAAATTGTCCTTACTGTATTGACATCTCTGTTTGTCTCGTGCTGCATCAACCAAATTGTTGCACAAACTCCCCATGTATAGATCATAAAGTACCAATATTTCAAACTTGCAATCACAGCTGCACAGAAGAATGTTGTGCAACAACGGTGTGACATTTGATCCATGATGATTAAGAAATCTGGACCAAACAGGCCTCTCCCCAATCCAGCAGACGTTTTAGATAAATGGACACCAGTTCCCTGCGACCATGCAAAGAAAGTAAAGAAAATGAATGGTTGAATGAATCGTCAACTATCAGGTGTCAAGTGATGTAAACTTCACACAATAAGTGAAGAAGCTGCTTTATAAGGATCCCAACTTTGACGAGGACCAGGCTGAGATGCTGAAGGCCGCATCATGTGGCACAGGCAAAATCCGGTTTTCAGCAGTCACCATCCCCTCACAAAGTTGTCATTTCTTGCACACTCTCTACTCACGAAAATCAAAAATGGTTTCAAGTAAGTTCTAGTCCCCTGTGAAAATGAACTTTTTTTTTTTAATTGAAAATTTTGGTACAAAATTTCTGAACATGCTCAAAAATCTGCAACACGAGTGTGACACACTGCAACCTGCACGGAAGATTTGAACACTCCCTTTCAAGCGCCGTTCACAATTTGTTGCCAACAGTTGCAGCTCAGTCAGATACGAGTAAGACATTTTCCATTTGAGCTGTTCTCTTGTTACTCAATGGCAACTTGTATCCAGGCCTAAGGGAATGTTCACCCTACACATGGGGCCAACACTATAGCCATCCTGCCAACTCCATTACTCAACAGATCTGATGTTATTTTGTTGCAGTTTGTGCAGCTTCATTGCCAATTTGCCACGGTTATTTTATTTCTTGTGAATCTCAGCTAAAGCAGAAATGTACCTGTAATTGAGTTTTTTAGTGTTACAGCTCTACAACATTCAGTTTTAGACCAGAATAAGTAGTGATTTTAGACTATACGCATATGGAAAGTTTTGATGTTTTTCATTCAAAATTTGCTCAAGTTTACAAATAAGGTTTAAATTCCTTTTAACTTGTCAAAAAAGTTGTCATTTTGAGCTTTACTAGGTAACTAATACTGCCAAATTTAGTCACACTAGTTGACTAGTGACTTTTTTTGTCCTTGCTAGTTCACTAACCCTGATTCAGACCAGGAGTTAACTCTCCCATAATAACAAATGTGTGTACACCATTTACATAGTAAGTTGTTAAAACATTTATTTCCAGTTTGCTCAGTATTTAGGAAACAGCTGAACTTTAAGTGAACAAAGCTCCCCCCCCCCCCCCCACCCTGATTTGCTGTAAGCTATTAGCAAAAAGCTCTTTGAGGGGCTTGTACCGGCCATTTGTTTAGCTGAAGGCCGGGACACAGATCAGACAGAACTCCCAGAAACTCATAGGGTGCTATGAGAGATAAACTGCCAAGCAGACAGCAGGAGCAGGCGAGGGAGCGTATGATTTAACAGGCCGGAACAGCGTGCCGAGACAGCGAGCGCCTGATCGTCTCATCAGTCAGAGCAGCCAGGTACAGAGGTACGGCGGCGTTACAAGGTCAGTGTTTTACTTTGGCTCGTGCTCGCTAATTTAATTACAGGCAGAGCGCCACAAAAGAGCACGCAGAGGCAAGCAGATGCTGCAAACCTCAAACCCACGCTGTTCTCCAAGCCATACAATTTGTATCTCGATGGAAGACACAGTGATTCAACGATGGCTGCGAAACTTTTTTCTCTGACATTTACCAACAAGTGTCAAATACAGAATAGACCAACCTTTTTTACCCCCTTTATACCTCTTCTGCGCTCCATTCAGGACTGCTGGCTGAAAGAGCTTGGACTATAAAATTACTGTATGTGACTTTAATTATTGCCCGCCATCACTGATCATGTTTTGCCTTTTTGTGTGCGTGCATGCTTTATTAGCAAAATATCTCATAAATAACTGGACATATTTCAACAGAACTCTTAGAAAGTCATTAATTCAACACGGCTATTCAAATAAAATTGCTCAGGGGGGCACAGTTACTGAAAGCCAAGCGCTCAGGGGCCAGAAATTAAGATTGTATTACAGTTTAAAATCTAGTTTTATTTAAAAATGAACCCAATGGTGGGCCGAAATGAGCTCACCCGTGGACCTGATTTGGCCCCCAGGCCACTAATTGAATAGCTCTGATCTACAGCTTACAAGCCTGATGGCTGATCTTTGAACACTAAAGCTGATCAGTTTTACAGATACTGAACTAAAACACAAAGTGATGTGAGGTCATGAAATTAAAAAAAATGTTTATTTATTTATTATGAATTAATCAAGCCAACAGAAGAGCTGAGCAGTGAAGTTTTATTTTAATTAAATGGAGGGGGAATGCGACGATGCTATTGGCTGAGCGCACCAGGAAGTCACCTGATTCTGACGCAGGCGCTCGAACAGCTGGAACAGGAGGGGGGAAAAAAAAAAAGCTCAACATGGCTCCCAAATTGGACCTCGTGCGCGCGGGGACGCTCGTGTGGCTGGTGGTTTCCTCTCTGATCCCCCCGGTTGAAGCTTACGACGCGGGCGACGCTTTGGCGCTGCTGCTGTGCGCCGTCCTGACCGGGGTGGGCTTCTGCGCGTGCCTCGGCTGGTACGCACGGAGGCGCAACGGCCAGATGTGACGAGGAGGACAGGACAGGGGGAGCAGTGGTATTGGCAAGCTTCTCGGACATGCGTCCTGTCAGCACGCGCTGCTCTCAAACTCCCGCGGACCTTCTGGACCCGCAGAGAAACGTGCCTTACAGGAGGATGTTGGCGCAGGAGGAGGACAAAGCCGAACCAGGAAGTGAGAACGCAAGAACCCCGCCTAGGTCTAAAACCAAACACTGTTGCCTTTTAACACGCAAAGAGACTGCTGCAGTTTATTTCCCTTTAAACGTCCTGTTAAGTTTTGCATCCAGCTTCAACACGAGACTGTTTGATTTGACGCACTGAGCCACACGACTGGCACTTCCGGTAGTCTGGACACGTGACTACAGCTTTTGTAAACAATAAATGAATGAAGTCTCAAAACAGTTTTTGGCTTTTGTCTGCTCTTTAAACACTATTGGTTCTCGAAGGGTAACGTGGTAAAGTAAAATTACACTTTTTTTTTTTTTAAGAGTTTTTATCTAGAAATAATTATTCAAGGAAACTGACACTAGGATGAAGATCAGCTACTACCACACCAGATTTGAGCTCATCTGTAAGAGTCAGCCATGTTTGTGCTGGCTAAGGTAGATTAGCTGTGGCAGCCATCTTACAATGAGTTGGCTCCAAAAAGTAACAATTTGAAAAAAAAAAGTTATCCAACTAGAGCATTGAGAATTTGTTTTTAAGGGCAGTAAAATCAACTCCAGTATGTGATTTACAAGTAGAATCAGGAGAAATGCCTTCATGCAATAGAAGATAACAGTTAATGGTTAATTGGTGGATAAATTTGAAGGGGCATAATGATAATCATACTGTTAAGAAAGTGTTAGAAAATTTTTGGGAATGAAGAAAAGAGCTTAAAATTACTTTTTGGGTGGGTTGGGGATAATACAGCAAGAATATTTAAAGTATATAAAAGAATCGAGTCCAACAGTACTGTGGCCTTTAAGGCCAACATGGACATAATGTGGATTGTTATAAAATATTAAGAAAATAAATACAACAACTAGCCATGAGCCTAGCCTGGTGAAGACTTCTGCCCTTATTTTTTATACTCTGGCCTCTACATCTAATTTCATCCCTGGTAAATACCTATAACTATTTGACACATCACTTAAAAAGTAGCCAGACTATCCCTTTAAAGCAGCTTCAGTCTAAAAAATGTCAGTGTTTTGTATGAATGCTATAAAATTGCTGTAAATGTTCCAAGGTGCACAGACTGACGACATTTTACAGGTGAGTAAATAAAAGCAGCAGCTGCTAGCTATAGCACTTCTAGCAGACTATACTGGCTGTGTAACAATCCATTAATTAAAGTTTTGAATGAACCACTAGACAGCTATTTTTTAATTGGAGCTCTTTTATGACAGTAGCAGTCCGTTTCGGGCTTGACCTTGGCATATTTGCAGTTAGTGTGCCAAAATTGAGCCGTTTCAAACCAAAGCTGTTTAGATCTCACACAGGTAAGAAATAAATGGCCAGCTTTAATCGATTCTATTAAAATTGTATGATTTAGTTTAGGCAGTGTTGATGAACTTCTTCTTTTTATAGCATACTGTATATCATGTTCAGTTGAAAGAGAATAGATTCAAAGAGCCTTTTTTTATTTTAAATTCCCAAACCTAAAATAAATCTCCAATGTTCCCCGCCATCCTACAGACGCCTCAGCCACCTGTTTCCATGTACCACTATCATTAATTCATGCTCGTCGCCCCTGAAGATGCTGAGCCACATCCTCTCTGGTGCATGTTGTGCACCGTTCGAGCGTGTGCACGTGGCTCGATGGAGTCATTGTTCAACAGTGACACTGCTCGTGACATCACAGCTCCCCATACATGGTTGAGGAGTCAAATCCTATGAATTTCTCATGCTGAGCAGGCAGAATGAACAGCAGAGTGCAAAGTGCTGGTCAATTATGTATACAGCCTAGGTACACAAGGAGTGGGAAAGTCCATTACCCTGATGGGAGCAACCTGGTTTAACCCCCCCACATACTGAAAATAAAAAAAAATGGTCCTCATCCAGCTTTATGCATAACTTATTGATATTACTTATGTTTAAAAGGCACCTGAAGCAGTTTAAAACGCATTATCCGGATTAAAACAAGCACCAGGGAAGTAATGCGTTACACTACCGGGTGTAGTAACGCGTTACCGGCCAGCAGTGGCCCTGTTGAGCAGATGTTACCGTCAGAGAGACCGAGTTGCTGTTGCTGCAACAAGAGACAAGACGCGTCTTGGATCACAAATAGGGGGGATGCAGTGCGCATGCGCAGTGCGCTCCGTTTACTGTAGGATATTCACCGTGGAGAGGAAGAAAAAAAAAAGAAGAGGAGGAGGGCAGGCATCAAATCTGGCTTTTTGAAAAACGGCAAAAAACCCGACTTGTGCAATGTAAACAGGAGGGGGATGGATTATCAACAGGTAGGAGTTTTATTAATCGACTGATCGGATTTTAGTCCTTTTTTTTTTTTCCAGTTTTTTTTTTCCTCTCTCCCGGCCTTGTTTTATGTGGCTGCGATTCTGGGCAATTCATATAAAGACAGCCAAATGAATCTAGTCTAATGGACGTGCGGATTCGGATCCGGTCGGTGCTTGATCCGGGCCGACCGGGCTGCGGAGGCGATTATCCGTTCATTCTGTTGTGTTTCTGAAACGGGATCCAGTCGGATTAAAACGGACGGTAAAGATTAGGAGGACGCTTTTAAAACGCGTAAGTAAATACAAACAAGAAAAAAAAGGACATCCCTTTATAGGTCAATATTTATAAATATGCACAAGAAGAATATTATATAATCTTATTTGTTCTCCCAATTGACACGTCGCGACAAATTACAAGGCAAAATTGAAAAATAGCAGCAGCCATAACGTTCAATTAATGAGGAATACGTGGGAAATAGTTTTTTTTTTTTTTTTTCCATTTAAGCAAAAGATGCTTCGGTGTCTTTTGCACAAAAGGTACAGCCAGGGCGATTTCCTCTCCTGCAATGTGTGCAGGGTGTGATCAAGGGGAGCTTATTTTTGTCTGCATTTGTCTTTATTTTTTCCACAGTGCGCCGAATATGCTCCCATCCTCCCCCACTCCTTAAATGAAATACATAAAGGGGGGGAATCCAAGTCGAGCCTTGGTTATTGTGAAGCTCGCTTCCATTTAATGCGTCGTTTTGTCAAATGAAGGCTGCTGCTGTTTTTTTTTTCTAATCCAGGAAAATTCCAAGGCAGCCTTAAAGGAAATTTAAGTCTAATCATGCTCCATCTTTGCATGTCTGCCTTCAGAGAGCTCTGAGCTGCTCCAAATGTTCCAATGTTAAAGCAAATCAGTCATTAAAGGACTGCCAGAGGAGAAGAAGTGCTTATTAACATGCATGTGTTGTTAGGACTGGATGCTGATGAGTGAGGGATGTTTTTTTCAGAGGTTTTTGTTTTTCTCTTTAGGTGTGATGAGACAAAGAGACAAAGGATGCCTTAGAGAAGAGGTTGCCTGTATGCCTGGAAACCTCTTCAAAGCACACCACCAAATGGATCAGACACCTCCCCCCGCCACCTCTAGATCATGATACTTGGCTGAAGCTATTCTGCTACATTTATGATCCCTCCTCCATCTATGGCGAACTATAGCCATGCAGGGGACCACACCATCTTGCAGAATGTCTCTCCTCTCGCCACATTCCTGAAACTGACCTCCCTGGGTTTTATCATTGGAGTCGGTGTGGTTGGGAACCTCCTGATCTCCATCCTACTGGTCAAAGACAAGAGCCTGCACCGGGCGCCCTACTATTTCCTCCTGGACCTGTGCGCCTCTGATATCCTGCGCTCAGCCATCTGCTTCCCCTTTGTCTTCACCTCAGTAAAGAATGGATCTGCCTGGACCTACGGCACGCTGACCTGCAAGGTGATCGCCTTCCTGGGTGTGCTCTCGTGTTTCCACACGGCGTTCATGCTATTCTGCGTTAGCGTTACCCGCTACCTGGCCATAGCGCATCACCGCTTCTACACTAAGAGGTTGACGTTCTGGACGTGTTTAGCGGTCATCTGCATGGTGTGGACGTTGTCGGTGGCTATGGCGTTTCCTCCGGTGCTAGACGTTGGGACGTACTCCTTCATCCGGGAGGAGGACCAGTGCACGTTTCAGCATCGCTCCTTCAGGGCGAACGATTCGCTGGGCTTCATGCTCCTGCTGGCGCTCATCCTCCTGGCCACGCAACTGGTTTACCTCAAGCTCATTTTCTTCGTCCACGACCGTCGGAAGATGAAGCCCGTCCAGTTTGTGCCTGCTGTCAGCCAGAACTGGACCTTCCATGGACCAGGAGCCAGCGGGCAGGCAGCAGCAAACTGGCTGGCCGGATTTGGTCGCGGCCCCACCCCGCCTACCTTGCTGGGCATCCGGCAGAACAGCAATGCAGCGGGTCGTAGACGCCTCCTAGTACTGGACGAATTCAAAACGGAGAAGAGGATTAGTAGGATGTTCTACATAATGACGTTTTTCTTCCTGGCGTTATGGGGGCCCTACCTGGTCGCTTGCTACTGGCGGGTGTTTGCAAGGGGCCCTGTAGTCCCTGGAGGCTACCTGACAGCAGCCGTGTGGATGAGCTTTGCCCAGGCTGGGGTCAATCCTTTCATCTGCATCTTCTCCAACAGGGAGCTGCGGCGCTGCTTTAGCACCACACTCCTCTACTGCAGAAAATCCAGGTTACCAAGGGAACCTTACTGCGTTATATGATGGTTTTACTGGAGTTTTTTTAAATCATCTATGTCTCTATTACCCTGATTGATCTTGATCTGGGCTTGTCCCTGTTGTACAGTGCTCTCTCCCTCTTTCGATATCTTTTTCTCTCTTTATCATCCAGTTTTCCCCTCCTCCTCCTCTTTTCTCGAGGCCCTTCGTCTGGCTGATCTGCCAGTCTCATGGCTCTGTCGGGGTGATTAAATACAAAAAATGAAAAGTCCATCAAACATGGAAAAGGAATGGGAATACGTACAAGGGATGGATCCCGTCCTGCGTTTATGTTCTAGTAAACGGACATCATGGAAGGCCATGCCAATGCAGTGAAGCAAAAAGTTCCTCTTTTTTTTGGACAAAACTGACAAGAAAACCTCTTGCTTTGGATACGATGACGATGCTTTACCTTGTGACGTGTGAAATACAAAAAAAAGAAAAAAGATTTGGAAAAAAAAAAGAACACGAAACAAAGAAACAATACCTCTCAAGGAATTATTGGAAATGTTTTACAGTTTAAGAGTTGCACTAAAAGAAGATGTAAAGACGCTTTTTTGTGGGGGGTTTTCTTTTCGGGTCTTTTTGGTCAACGGTTGCCAGCTGCATATTGCAAGGACAACTTTTTCCTCTCTTTTTGTCCCCCCACCCCCTTTTTATTCTTCTCATAGTAAAACAATGAATGCTTTGATTTGCAACAGACAACACAATCGCTGTAAGTAAAAGCAAAACTTGTTGGGATACACCATCACTGGAGGATAAGATGGTTTTAATGTAAGTGATTATCTTTTTCATTTCCTGGGGTGGGGTGGGTGGAGCGTAATGATGGAGGTGGGGGGGTGTGGTTTTTCTGAAGTTGCAACTTAAAACTAGAATCGATTTTCTTGTAGTTTTACGATCCATATGTCCCTATAGTGTCTGGCATTGTTATTTTCTTAACACTTTTTACAACAACAAAAAAAAGAGGGGGTGAAAGATGAATTGATGTAAGGGTCTGGGGTGGGGGGGCGGTTAATGAACTTTGTGCTTAAAAAAAAAAAGAAACATTGAAGAAGTAGTTAAATGTTTCATCATAACCATGTACCGAAACCATGTTACCGTATTGCGATGCCACTGTTTTTTTTTTTTGCCTTAACGGTAATAATATTGTCACGTTTCTTGGTTTATCTTTTTCTTTTTAAGTTTTCCACTCAGTCCTAAAACGATACTTTAGATGGGGGGGGGGGGGGGGGGGTTTGGCTGTCTTTGTCACATCAGCGTGAAAGTGCATGTCCATTTTTCTTTAAGAGCTGGCCCCACTCCCACGAGCATCACAGGCCCATACACCGAGCAGCCCGGTTTTTTATTCTGCAATGGTTTGCTACACCCCTCAGAGTGCGCTGAGCACAGCGTGTATGTGTGCGCGTGTGTGTGAGTGTTTCAGTGGACGCAAGGATGTGTGTGAACCAGACAACCGTCACTTCAAGACCAGAGCCTTAGTATGAAATCTTGCACAATTTGTAAAAAATGTAAAAGGAAAAAAAAAAAAAGGACATTTAAGGCACACTTGTCTTGTTTCTACTTTCCCTACATTTGCTCTCTACTGATTGTTTTCAATGACTTTTCTTTCTCTCTTTCTCTCTCTCTCGTGGCCATTTTACTATTTATTATGTATTCATTTTTGTATATTATAGATAGCGTGTAAGTATGTGAGTCTTTCATTTTGAAGTCCCGAATGTGAGTACAGTTTCAGTTTTAGGATTGCATTTGCTGAAAGGTAACTGTGTAATCTGTTGCTTTTTTGAAAATAAAATATAAAAAAAAAAATCAAATTTGCATAATTTGTTAATATTTTTTTATACATGCCTTTTTGCTAAGCTTGATTAAGAAAAATGACAGAAAATGTATTTTTTTAGCAGTCAAATGATGATTTTGGAATTCACAATCAAGTTTTTTTTTTTCTCGAAAGCACAAAACCCTATATTATAAAAGATTTAAAACAAAAACAATAATTTATTTACACTGGATGAAGACTGGATGGTCTTTTAAGGTCTTGGAGAGGTCCTCGGGGTCTATTAAATGAGAAATGTGTCCCTGTTATGTAAAAGTTGTACATTTTAAAATCTTATTTACATGAATTTTTTTTTAAGAAATGAGGTTTATGTCCAATGGCTAGTCCAAACACAGCTAAAAACAGAGAGGATTGTTATACATTTTATTAAAATGTTATTTTATGAACCTTTTAAATATAATGGCAGTGTCAATTTTGTTTTACACTGTTACTTAAAAAGAATTGTACGATTATGTGCATGACTAAATGACACCAAGAGACATGGTCTGTAGCGCCGGTGTATCTTTTCGTCACTTCCAACTTGAATGTTTTGGTATTTCTGCTGAAATAATTGTGTAATGTGAAACTGAAGAGGGTGTGTAGGTTGAACTAATAACATTAGCTTGGACACCTGTGACATTTTCGGAGTTGTTTTCAAGGTTCAAGGTTCTTTATTGTCATTTGCATCACATGCTACATGAGGTGGAACGAAATTGTGGACTCAAAGTCCCAGAAACCCAAAAAAGCACAAATATAAAAGAGACAGTATATAAGGATCTAAGATATACACTAAATGAACACTAAACGTTACGCTAAAAGATCAAAGATACAGTAGTCCCTCGCTACTTCGCGGTTGTTTTTTCTCGGCCTCGCTCTATCGCGGTTTTTCTAAGTAAGACTGGACATGACACAATTGGCTGATTGATGGATGAGCCGCACAATTGGCATGGATTTTTTATTTTTATTTAAAATGAGTTATTTTAATTATTTAGCACCTGTGTGCAGCCCACAGCTGCAAGAGATGCTTCCTCCTGCAGCTGTGTCATATATCCACTCTGCAGCGGAGAAGTGGGCGTGGCCAAGAGCACTGGCAGATGGCAGAGAACTGAAATCATGACAATCTGTGCTCTTTATTGCATTTAGAGTTTAGAAACATTGTTTAGAATATTGCAAAAGTGTGGGAATGGTTTAAAACACATTAACATATATACATATATATATGTATACATACATATATATACATACATACATGTATACATACATACATACATATATACATACATACATGTATACATACATACATACATATATACATACATACATACATATATACATACATACATACATATATACATATATATATACACATACATATATATATACACATACATATATA